CTATACGAAGGGGGCGTACAGCGCCTTGCGTGTTCAATACAACAATGCGTTCAGAATGTTGAATGGACTGCCACGTTTTTGTAGTGCATCAGCCATGTTTGCAGAGGCCAGAGTTGATGGGTTCCATGCAATCATACGCAAACGTTGCGCGTCCCTCCTCAGTAGAATGCGTGGCAGTTCACACAGCATCTTGAGCGTATTGTGTGATAAATGGGATAGTCCAATGTTGGGTCATTGGATTGGACTGCACGCGGCTGTAAAGTAGAATTAGTTTTGTTTATTTATATTATATTAAATTACTAACAATAGGTTAAGCTCATTGTTACTAACAGTTTATGGACTCTAGGTCTGAAATAAATGATTAATAATAACGACGGTACTGGACGAGTTAAATCCACCCTCATATTTTAACTAATTTACTAGTCACATAAATTATTCCGGTATTTGCTGTTATTGATTGGTGAACATAGCTACCAGTGTTAGTGTTATCTTGTTGTTGTGATTTTATTCTTTTGTATTCATTATGCAGGTTAATATTAGTATTGAAACCAAGGCAAATATTGTGGCCGTATATTCGGATGGTCGTAATATATCTTAAATATCGAATGAAACCAGCTTATGCGTAAGTAATTTTTTTAACTTTGTGTGATGATGACCTGCAAATAATAAAGATAAATTGCTTGTTATAAGTGTGTAATATTTATATGTTTTTTTTTTAGTGAGAGACTATGGTTCAATATGAGACCAATGGTTTCATCCCAACAAGGCGTTTTGCTGATTAGTTGAATAAGAGAACATCAGCCCGCACCGTTCGCCGCAGTCTCCGAACGCAAGCTAAAAAACCGTTTGTCACGCAACGGCATAAAGAGGAGAGGTTATGTTTTCCCGGGAATATTTGGACTTTAAGAATAGTGAATATGTGGGGGTGGATATGTGCTCAAGGGCCTGATGAATTAAGTTTTATTTCAACGTGAGCCAACAGTGTTAACTATGTGGAAGTGTCGAACGATGTTACTAGTATCTTGTCTACAAATATGTCTACCCTGCAGAAGACGTAAGCGAGATAAGTTTTGTGCAAGACAACTGTCCCATTTACTGTGCCGGTATAGTTCGTGTATGGTTTAGCAATCATCTTGAAATAAAAATTATTCCTTGGCTAGCTTGGTTCCCTGACTTAAGCCCTTTAGAAGTAACAAATATTAAAAAAATGCTCAAAAGGTTGGGTAGATAATTGTATGTCGGGGGACATAGCGGCTGTAACTTTAACAAATTAGTATTTATATTAGTATTTAGACTGAGGTTAAGTTTCAATCCTCTTTTCATTGAGAAAATGAATAATTAAGCTATAACCTCAGATCTTTCATTATGTCTACAATTATGTAAACTAAAATTCATTTTTATTATAATAACATGAGTGTAAATGGTTTATGTAAAATATATTACAATTTTACCTTAAGTTCAAAGTTTCATTTATTATCATTTAACAATAGATTACATTTATTGTAATGTATGTTTGTTCAAAGCAATTTAGTAAAAATAAATTACTAAAATTTACAAGTAGATAATCGTTATATGTAAAATATAAACTAAATAAAATATATGTATCTTTTACACTTTATATACTGATGCTTATATACTTACTATTTATATTATATATATAAAGCCCAACCTTAGATTCGAACTTACACCTATTCCTAAGTTTGTATGTCCTTTGTTTTCTGTAAAATAAAATCAGACTACAAGAAGAAGAAGTAAACAAGTTTGTAAATAAAACAGTATTATTATCTATTTACAAATAAGTCGTTTCATATCCAATAAATAAGCAAACATGTAAACAATAGTAGGTATACAAATTGAAAAGATTGATTGATTGAAAAGGATGCAATGATTTAATACAGAAAAGTTTAACCTTCATAACCTATAACTATTTAGCTAAATTTAATTAGATCAAAGTGAATAGTGAAGTGAATCAACATCTTAAATGGAAAGAAATTTTAAAAATTTCTAACAGCTTAAAAATAACATCACTTCACCGTATATATCTAGTAGTGGACAAAAAAGCGCATTGCGATAACATTATTAATCAAATATTACTTAAGTTTTTGTTCACATTGATTACCAAATATGAATGTTATCTCTGTATGAATAAGGTTTATTTTATTTTGTCTATACTTCATAAACGGATCAAATAAAATTGTTGTTCGAGAGTTTCGTAGTTACCTCGAACATTGTAAACTTTATACTCAGGTATTGAAAAAAATAGACATTTTGTATTAAATAACGTTTAAAAATATTTAATAAAATAGAAAAAAAAAAAAAAAAAAAAAAAAAAAAAAAAAAAAAAACTCAATAATAACAGTGTCTATGCTGGGATCGAACCTGCGACCTGTAATCTTTAATCTCATACGATAACCTTTACGCCAAGCTTGCTTCTTCGAAGCATCGTGAAATATTTAATGTCATTCAAAACTATATTGTATTTATTGGGTATGATTATGTACAATGTAGCTCGATCGTTCATTATTCGTTTTATTAAATGTTTGTTACATATTATTTTTATCTTTACCCTCATTTTTATTTACACTTATTTACTGAATGAATACATATACCGTCACTAAGATACGTAATATTGAATACCAATGTGTGCGTGAGGGACGAATGTTTTATGCATTTATTTATGTTCTTTCGCGTAGTGAGCGCGACGACAGTTTATTAGTGTGTGTTATTGCGGTAGTTCATAGCAATGTGATCTTTAGCCGTCTTATGGACTTTTGTAACCCGACTGTACATACATACAGGTCAAACTGACATCCTCCTGTTAAACATACGCTTGTGATATATTGCAGATATCGTCTCGCGCAGCAGAGGTCGGACTCGGAGGAAAGCGCACCTCAAACGAACCGCTCAGTCGCTTCAGCGTCCCCGGGCCCGGGCTGGGACGCGGCCGGCTCACCCGGCGACACGCCGCACCGCTTCCTGCGTCGTGACCGCGAGCTCATGCGCAAGTCTGCGCTGCTTCGAAGGCTGTGGGGCCGCGGCTGTTGCTGCTGCGAGCCCGCGCCCGCCGCCGAGCTCGGCACGCGCTCGCTCGACGGCTCCCGCTCCGAGCTGCGCCAGCTGTCCAGCGGCCTGACCTCCTCGCGCTACTCGCACGTCGTCGGGTGGACCACACCCAAGCGACAGCGACTCGACTCCTCGAGAGACTTCCGTGGCAGTGATGAGATGATTCGTGCCGCAATGAAAAATAGCTACGATCGCGCTGAAGACTCCCGTAAGGACTCCGGAACCCGCATCGACTTATCGGACTCGACGTGCAAATGTCGCGAACCTTCGTCCTATACAGAGACAGTGACGGATGTGCTCACCGACAGTGAAGGTTCCAAGTCGGAAATACGACACGAAAGGGATACATTCCCGCAGTACTCAGAGCGACACTTGTCCGAAACGTCTACAACACAATTCAGATCAAGCACGATAAACGACCCAAATGTGACCAGTGAACACTCGGCGGCCGGCAGCGACGAGCGCCTGCTGTCAGACTCCTCGGACACGTACTCGGCGTCGTTCCCCACCGCGCAGGAGTGTCTGAGGAGCAGACCCTCGGTCCACCTCACGGGCAGCGCGCACATCGCCGGCCACGTCAGTGACCACTCTGCTAGCTTGTTCCGCGATGACAACGATGCGGTACCCTATGACAGGCCCCTGACCGTCCACACACCATCCTACGAAGTACTAGAGATAGTCGTGTCAGAAACATTAAACGTGACCTCTGCACCGTCTGCTAACACGCTTCCACCGGATAAGTTCTCACAAAGTTTGAGGGCTCCCGTGCAAAACCAGAAGACTGCTCAAAATATTAACATTGATGAATACGTTTCTAATATTCTAGTAGAGAGCCTGAATTCATTGACTGATCAATTAGAATGCATGAATGCGTCTATGGGAAGCAATAGGAAGATAAGTATAGTTGAAAAGGAAATAAAAGTAAAGCTACAAAATACAGGAGTCAATACGATAGTTCACTTGAGCCCCACCTCCAACAATCAGATTATATTTGGTAATGAGGAGCTGTGCATGAATGAGGAGAGTAAAAACAACTGCAACAACTCCCCCGGCCAGCGATCGTCGCAGGACCAAAGAGAGCCAGAGCTCGCCATCCGCGACGAGCACAGCGTCGAGTGCAACAACAACACCGACCCCTTCGACCTGCAGCACGACAGCGTCAACCAGGCCGTGCTACAACAGATACAGAAGCTGTTCCAAGACGAGTTCCACAGCTTGGATGTTGACTATTCGGAAAAAACAATGCCTGAAATATCACACATCGAAATCTCGAGTGCGACGGATGTGTTCATTAACAACGAGAACGAGTTAAGCACGCAGGCTAGAGACACAATGGAAGGCCGATACGAGGTCATCAGCGGCGTTGGCACCGGTAGCTACTACCCCGACGTGGAGGACCGGCCTTTAGTGCCACGCTTCTCCGCCCTGCCGCACACCGACTCCATGGAGGTTAACACCTCCTCCTCCGAGGACGCAGACCTTATGGGCTCCGACTGCACTAGTCTTGTGGATAGTCTGGATGATCCCAATTCGCCACGGTCCGTGTTGCTACGACGCGCTTTCTCCAACAGGCGCAACGAACTCGTTCGATCCGCAATAGATATTTTAGATCTGCTACCCGAAGATGTTCGCCAAGACGAACCTACAACTCCGAAGGACAAGGGCGAGTCATTTTTTATTAAAATAAAAGATAATGAGTGTGACTGTGAGAAAGAAAATGTCAATGTGGCCGATCGGATGCCCGAAAAAATAAAACAGAGATTATACCGACGACATCGTAAGCGGGAAATGCGAATGGAGTGTGCACGGAGATCACGAGGCAAACAGCGACCGAGAGAGTCCCAGACGGAACGCAGTCGTGCGCGCCGCGACCTGGAGCGTGACTGTGTCGCTATTGTGAACGCGCTCATTGATGACGTCATCGCTAAAGTCGCACAAGACGAATACAAATGCATGCGCATCAAGCACCGCCCCGCCAGGACACTGGCCTCGCACTGCGATGATAACATTGTCAAGCGAACTTGGAAGAAAGAGATGCTGCCTATCGAAGATAGAGATCCATTTTCATCTGCGAAGAGTCACAATACTCGATGCAACTCGCAGCAGATGGGTAAACAGAGGAGCGAGCGTCACCAGATTTATGGCAAACTGTCACTTGTGACGAGACCTGCGGTCGCCTGCGACGATAGGGCTGCTAAGCGCATCTACCAAAAGTCTGAAATACGCGATGGCAACAAATGTATCGAAATTTTGGAAATATTAGAATACGTCAATGGGTCACAAAGCTCTCCAGAAACTACTAACTCTGACGAAAATCATAATCAACACATGAAAAATAAAAAATCTCGTATTCCTATTCCAATTTATGAAAAAAATTTACGATCCCCTACGAGTAGTAGTAATAGTAGGCGCAGTTCCATGCCGCGAGCTGAACTTAACGGCAACTCTAACCGCTTAATCGCAGACATGTTGCTGGGCGCGTTAGTGGAGACTGAGCCCAGCGAACTCAGCGAACCGGCCGGCCCGCCACCGGCGACTCGGCGCGCCTCCGTGCCGCGCTTCAAGCAGACCTTCGACATCATCCCCGAGGAGCGCAGCAGTCTCAGCCTCGACTCCGGTAGCGAGGACCCCAACCACAACCGTCGCACTTGCGATATCTCCGCAGTCCATGAGCCACCGGCGCCGTCTCCGCCCGCAAACCCATTACAAAAACTTTTCAAACCTCAAGGGGATTCACCACGACGATGTAAAGACGTGAAAAGTGCTGCCACTTCTCCGATGATGGATTGCGATTCCAATAAAAAGCCTCTCAGATCCAAAAACCAAACAACAATGACATCCCCTCTAAGCAAGTCAGCAGCGACAAGTCCTATGCGGACGTCAGGGGCAGAAGGCGCGGTGCGGGAGGATGCACCACTGGCCAGCAAGCGCGGCCGCCACGCCTGGCTGGCGCAGCACGGCGCAGGTACCCCGCTAGCGGCGCTACTGCACCGCACCGCCCGCTCCGTACCCGTCGAGTAGTCGCGCGGCGCTACTGCACCGCACCGCCCGCTCCGTACCCGTCGAGTAGTCGCGCGGCGCTACTGCACCGCACCGCCCGCTCCGTACCCGTCGAGTAGTCGCGCGGCGCTACTGCACCGCACCGCCCGCTCCGTACCCGTCGAGTAGTCGCGCGGCGCTACTGCACCGCACCGCCCGCTCCGTACCCGTCGAGTAGTCGCGCGGCGCTACTGCACCGCACCGCCCGCTCCGTACCCGTCGAGTAGTCGCGCGGCGCTACTGCACCGCACCGCCCGCTCCGTACCCGTCGAGTAGTCGCGCGGCGCTACTGCACCGCACCGCCCGCTCCGTACCCGTCGAGTAGTCGCGCGGCGCTACTGCACCGCACCGCCCGCTCCGTACCCGTCGAGTAGTCGCACGCCGCACCTCACACCACTCGCATATCTCACTTGTATTATAGAATCTGCATCGACAGTCGACACCCTACTTCGGTATACACTACCGGCGCGTACCCGCGTTAGTACTTAGTCTGACTAGTGTCAATGTCACAAGCACCATCCGTCGATAACATAATTTATTTTATATTAATTATTATTTATTACGCGTTATAAAAGCATTTATATGTATACAAAAGTTTGAATTCATATTAAAAAAGCAAATTATATACGTTGTATTATTTATAATAAGGTCACAAAGAAATGGCTGAGAAAGCACGGCAACGCAGGCCCACAATGACACAAAACGAAAGACATCCGAATCCACAGCGACACGAACACAGTACTCGAGAGGAACGCGGCGAGCGACGCCGGCAGCCCGCTAGCGGCACGTCTCCGTCCGCAGACCCGCGCTCCGACTGCTCGCCGGTCGATGCGTACATCATCGGCGACAAGAGAAAAGCGAACGACGGAACACATTCGCCGTTCGTCAAATTACCAGAGTTTAAAGGCGGCGGTGACAGCGGGGCCGCGAGCTCGAGCGATAGCAGCGAGTCGGGAGGCAGCTTACTGTGCTCGCTCGCGCCCAAGTGGCTGTCACAGGGCCGCGCCAGGCGTGCAGCGCGGCGCCGCGACGCGGAGCGGGCGGCGCCGGGCGCACAGCCCGAGGCGGGCGCGGCCTCGGCCCCCGCCAGCCCCCAGCAGCCAGGTGAGCAGAGCGCGGGGGGCGCGCGGGCTGCGCGCGCAGCGACTGACGGTAGTGTGTGCAGGCGGCTGGTCGGTGACGGTGGCGGGCTCGTGCCGCGCCGCGCTGCCCGCGGACGTGGAGATGCGCTTGCGGTTCCCGCACGACTCGCAGGCCGCCGTCGACGGGCCCTGTCAGGTGCTCATTGCTTACAATACACGCTACTTGCTCAGTTTGATTGGTCACAGTGTCACACTCATGTACCATCGGTGCGATTATACTATTATTCACACAATAGTTCGATCTTTAAGAAGGAAATATGTAACCCCACCTGGAAAGTTTTCCAAGAGTTTCGGAAATTGACAAATTCGTAGATTTTGATGTGCCCTATTTGATTTTCATTTTGCACACCTTTGTACGTGTGCCGCTCGCTCCGCAATCTGAAAAATGGCGGCCAAAAACAGTTTTTCTACAATATCTCTTTTCCTATGTATTTCACAAGAAAACCGTTAACTACAAAATTAAAGTGCTCACAATTATGTCTAGACAGCTTTTTTGTAATATAAGTCATTAGTTTTGGCGTAAGACCACCGCCGCAAAGTACACTTTTATGAGAATTTTGGTAGAAAATATTTCCACCCCACGTGAAAGCAGAGCAACCGGCGCGTTTTTATTGTGTAGTCCTTTATATGTGTAATGTTCATGTGATTGTAATATATACTCGTGGAACCTGCCGTAATCTCCTGCCCTTAGCTGTTTCAGGCGAAGGAAATTTCGTCGTGCACTTTATCGACGTCATAGTCGATATTTTTAAACGACAACGCTTGTAATAAATCTGCAACTCCCAGAAACCATTCCAGGCAGAACTACCAAATTACTGAACTATAATACCCATACCCCGGTCAACAATTTGTGAATCGCACAAAATAATAATTGTTCCGTGCTGGAAACGAACTCACGACACGTTGCACATATTTATGTGGGAAAGCCATGTTTCGGCACGGATGGGCCGCCGGCCGGCTTGACCGGACAACACTTGCGTTGTGTTGTATCGCAGTGTGAGTCCTGCGGCTACATAGTAATGTTTAGAGACCGGATAATATGCAACATAAAAAGCTTGAAATATGCATACTAATATGCATGAAAAATGCCTAAAATATGCACGAAAACTGACAGAATATGCAACATCAAATGAGTTTTTTTTGTTTTGTAAATATTATTCCTTTAGATTTAAGTATTTTGCGACGTGAACACTTGTCTTGACATGTTGGTCTATTTGAAACTTTTTAGTGCACGAAATGTTTTTCTCGCAAACTCGACAATATAAAACATTTCCGTCGTAAGTAAATGTTCTAGGAAATTCACTTATCCACGAAGACACACTTTTTTTTTCGGGAGGCATTGTACACACACAAAAACTTTTAACTGCAGGTGAATTATCCGAGCACGAGCGTGTCAACAATCAAATTAATAACGACATGCATAATAAGTGGGAGTAGCGCGGTAGGCGAGCGCGCGGCGGCGCGATCATTTGTCTCTTTCATTTTTACCCGACTGCCAAAGAAGGAGGGTAATGTTTTTCGAGTGTATGTAAGTATGTATGTATGTCTTTTCCTTTGTGACCACCTGTAGCCTAAACGGCTTGATGGATTTTGATGTATGAGGTATCGTTAGATTTGTCTTGATTACGGGAGTGTCATAGGATACATTTTATCCTAAAAGTCCCACGGGATAAAGACATAATAATATTTTTTCTAAATTTCCCTTTAAAAAAATATGTATGCGGTATCATTAGATTCATTTCAATCACGGGAGTAATTAATATAGGATACGTTTTTTCTCAAAATTCCCACGGGAACATGTTAATTCTGCGTCAACGCAAAGCAACTCATGCGTTAGCAAGCAAAAAGATAGGGCGTGGCCTGGCATGCGGCGCGCGGCGCGGTGCGGAGGGGGATATGCTCGAGTATACAGCCCGATTGCGGGCACACGCATGAGGGCACACGTCGTTGACGGTCGTCTCTAAATAGCGATTTTATTCGATATATCCCTATTTGTATATATCGAAATAAAAACAGCTAAAAAGTTATAAATAAAAAAATTATTATTAAAAAAACAAAATACCCGACTGCACACTAAAAAAAGAGTAAAACAAGCCCCACAATAATATTGATCAATCAAATGCTAAAAACTAATTATGTAATACCGTTTAAACAATACCTATATTAAAATACACTACAATATGTGTTCGTAATCGATAGTTAAATAAACAGAAACTTATTTTGAATACAAATTTACTGAATATAATTTATAAATGTTGATGGAATGCATCGCAGGCGGGGACCAACAGAGGCTTATTTATAGTCATTTCGGTTGTGCACCATTTAGCAGAATTTTCGTTGGTGGCGGTCAAGTTGGTCCCCGCCTGCGATGCTTTCCATCAACATTTATAAATTATATTCAGTAAATTTGTATTCAAAATAAGTTTCTGTTTATTTAACTATCGATTACGAACACATATTGTAGTGTATTTTAATATAGGTATTGTTTAAACGGTATTACATAATTAGTTTTTAGCATTTGATTGATCAATATTATTGTGGGGCTTGTTTTACTCTTTTTTTAGTGTGCAGTCGGGTATTTTGTTTTTTTAATAATAATTTTTTTTTTGAGTACCTACTAAAACAAAATACGCGCGGCTGCCGAGTGCGCTACGCTCGAAAAATACCTACCTACTGTAAATTATAGCAATAATATGCATCATTAGATATTAGTAAAAATATGCTATTAGCCTTGAAAATCGCTTAAATATGCAAATGCATATGCAAATATGCAAATGCATATTATCCGGTCTCTAGTAATGTTACTCCTATGTTCTGATGTAAAATCGTAAATCTTGACACTGTTCTACTTCAGGGAGCAAAGAGAACTAGGTATAGAAAGTACCGCGCTATTTTATTATGTGGACGAATGTGGTGTGTATAGGAATGTACGTGCCGGCACTGTGCGACGTGTGCGTGCCCCGCGCGGGCGCGGGCGGGGCCGCGGGCGCCGCTGCTGCCAGCCGCCGCGCCGCCGCTGGCGCAGCTCGCGCGTTCTGACTCCAGCAAGCTGACCCTCACCATGAAGAAGGAAGCGCTCGGTAATGTGTAGTGGACGGGAGTAAGGGCCTATCCTGTCAGTTGTCACTCGCTGCTCACTCCACCAAACACACTTGTCTTATTTTACAGATTCTTCTATTCTTGCGTCCAAGAGTTCGAAGAAGTCTGGTGAGCCGCTGCCCGACGTGGAGACGTATCGAGCGTCACGCAGTAAGCTAAAGAGCTCCGTCAAGGTATACCACTCGTAGTATAGAGCAATACAGGGGAGTACTCTGACAACATAGTACCTAATCATCGATCCTATCTCACTGTGTGCGTTACTGCGTTCTCGGTGTGCTCCGCTCGTTGTGCACTTGGCCCAGTCAATGAGCTTGCATCATCACACGCCGCGGCGCGCCCCAGTCGAACCAGACACACTTGTATCGCAGCTTGTATGTTGTGGAGTGGCGCAGGCGTAGCCGGAGCCCCGGTAACCCGTTAGTTTCTCCGCGGCTCCGTATTGGCATCAGCTCTATTGGGCCCCATCCGCGGTGGTTTGATGGCTCTTTGAGGCGCGCGCGGAATGCGAAGCGCCGTACGCTCGATTCTGGTTCTGGTTGGCCGTCCGCCGGCCCGCGCTTACGGTGGCCAGAGATCGTCCCGCGATCCCCGACGCTCGGAATGTCCTTCGCGATGGCTGGGTTGCGAGGAGGCAGCGCTTCGCTGCCTCACGCGTCCCGCCTCCTCCTTAGCTAGCATGACTGCTTCGCAAAAGGAGGAGACGGCATCCCAGTCCCTCTAACTCCGGATCAAGACCCGCACTAGGGCCGGACGCGAGAGACCGTCATCGCCGATCACGTCCCTGAGGGCACGGCGGTGCTCAGCCCACGCAGGGCATTCCGCTACCGTGTGTTCCACCGTGTCCTCAGGGCGGTCCTCGCAGTGATGACACCCGGGCATTTCCTCCCGCCCCATCAGACACAGGTACCTCCCGAAACTTCCATGTCCGGTGAGGACCTGCGTCAGGTGGTAGGTGAGGACACCGTAGCGTCTCTCAAGCCACTCATCAAAGAGGGGACTTAGCGCTGCAAATATGAGCCTCTAACATGGGTTGAAACTAGTCGAGTTCCTCGTCAAATAGATATAATTTCACGCCTTTCTCCCATGGGGGTAGGCAGAAACTATGGAACGCTAATTGCAACATGGTATACCTCTTTCACCTTTTTAAGGTCAAAAGTCCGCCACTGTGAATGATGTTCACACGGCAATGCGTAAATAATTTCATATTAATGTGCATAAAAACGCGCGCGCGCGTATGCATAAACACACGCACGCGTACGCACACGGATAAAAATTTGCGTGTGTATAAACGCTACAGCGCAACCGATAGTAGTCTTGATGACAGTGGACTTTTGACCTTTGACCGTATCTACATCTCGCATCAGCATCTTGTAGCCACTCGGTCAGTGCACGAACAAGCCATTTTGCATTGAATTTATTACATAACTATGCGATGAATGAATAATCTAATGATTTAACATTATGTATGTCTCGTGAGGTTTCGCGCAACCTGTATTTAGCAAGCATTTACACCTAGAAGGCGGTTGTTTCAGACGCGTCGGGGGTACTCCCTGCACTGCTGGCTGCCCGACAGCGAGGGCGCGCCCCTCAGGTACGTGTGCCAGCTGTACTCGCGCCGTGCGCTGAGTGCGTGGAGTGACCGCAGTGTGTTGCAGGGCGAGTGACGGGCTGTCCGTGCTGGGCAGCGCCATCATCCCGGAGCTGAAGCCGCGCGTGCCCACCATGAGCGAGCGCGACCTCACGCGCGTCTACACGCCGCGCCACTACCTGCGTCTCTAGCGCCCCCTACCGCCCCACACGGCAACCCCACACTACATCGTCGTTTTTTAACGCCGGGAGTCTTGTAGTACTTAAATAATCTCATTTGTCTAAAAAGTAACGAAACCTAATAATTACAGACGTCATTATGGCCGGAGTAAATGGCCTCGAGTCTCTGTTCTCGGTTATTTATTTACTTTGGCAGCTCTAAGAAACGAAGCACAAGGGTGATGGAGTGATCTTAATTTTGACTTGTATAAACACTAAACAGTAGTCTCATCAATGACAAATGTATCTGATAAATAATAATTATTATTTTGTATTGATTATTTTGTGTATCATGTTAGAGGTTTTCTTTTCCTTCTGACATATTATTCCTGTATACAAATTGACGTTCTGTGAACATAATGAATTCGTAAATGACAAAGGTTTTAACTAAGTCAATATTATTTGATACTTTAGTAATGCAATAACCGTGACAAACATCGAATAATGTGTATATTTACTTACTTATTCAATTATTTATATTCTTTGTTACTTAACCATCATATTGTTCCTCTGATTATTCTGTGTCGGTACTACAACGAATTTGCTTTTGTTAGCTTTTGACATAATTATGTTTGTGAATAAAGATTGTAGGTACACCCCACGCGATGTATACTAGTCTAAATTATAATTTTAAGAGCTGAACTTGCACCTGTGTAAAACAATAAATGTATTTGAATTTGAGAGTGAGAACAGAGGGGTGGGGGTGGGGAGACCTGACAACTTGCAACATTTTCGTATTCTGTAAATAAATAAATAGTTTTATCATTTATAATCGTTTTATTTTTTCTGCTTCTCAATTACCCGACTAGAACGAGACGCGACAGATATGAAGAAGACAGAGGGTCTACTTCAGAAGGGTTTGGAACACAACACAAACACCACAATATTTTTTTTTTTTTAAGGGGGGAAAATCATCGAATGACTGCTCCCGCCTGGGTGAGGCGGGAGGGAGTGTCAGACTCTTACTGACTAAAAACCACCCCGTTCCTTCTCCTGCACGTCGAGCCGGAGCCCCGGTTACCCGTTAGGTTTTCCGCGACTCCGAATCGGCATCGGCCCTATTGGGCCCCATCTGTGGTGGTCTGATGGCTCTTTGAGGCGCGCGCGGAACGCGACGCGCCGTACGCTCGGGTCTGTTTCTGGTCGGACGGGGAGCCACCCATGCTCGCCGTCCGCAGGCCCGCGCTTACGGTGGCCGGAGATCGTCTCGCGATCCCCGACGCCCGGTGTGTCCTTCGCGATGGCTGGGTTGCGAGGAGGCAGTGCTTCGCTGCCTCACGCGTCCCGCCTCCTCCTTAGCTAGCATGACTGCTTCGCAAAAGGAGGAGACGGCATCCCAGTCCCCCTCGCTCCGCATCATGGCCTGCACTAGGCCCGGACGCGAGAGGTCGCCATCGCCGATCACTTCCCTGAGGGCACGGCGGTGCTCAACCCACGCAGGGCATTCTCCCACTGTGTGTTCCACCGTGTCCTCAGGGCGGTCCTCGCAGTGATGACACCCGGGCGTTTCCTCCTGCCCTATCAGACACAGGTACCTCCCGAAACTTCCATGTCCGGTGGGTGAGGACCTGCGTCAGGCGGTAGGTGAGGACGTAGCGTCTCTCAAGCCATTCCTCAAAGAGGGGTCTTACCGCTGCAATGGCATCGAGCCCATTAAAAAAAAAAACACCACAATATTGTTACTACACTTTGTTGAGAAATATATTGTAAGTATTTCTTCTTCATCCGTTAGGGGCGCTAGTTGAACTATGCGTCGTCACATTCGATTACAAATCTAAATAAAGGACATTGCTCTGCGTCCATACATTGTTGGCCTTGGAGCCAAGAGTATCGGATAATTATGTATTGTATTCCCTATCATTTTTAGACTCCTTGAAGATTTTGTTTTTATTGTTTTTATAGCGGACTAACTGCAGAAAAAATATACCTATTTCAAAAAAAGTATCAGATATTGAGGTTATAATCTAAACATTACAACGAATATTTGAACGAATGTTGAATGTTTGAATCAGTTTGAGTGATTGTGTACATTTTGGAATACTAGCTAGTCTACATATTTAAGTATTTGCAACTTATATAATAAAATAGGGGATTAATTATTTCATATTCTGATACTCTTTATTTCACAGGACCATTTGGACATTGTCCTTTAAATGGAACAAAACCATAGCGTGACCAAGGGCGGATCTACCTAAGGGCTTTTTGGAGCTCAGGGTCCCGGCGATACAAGGGCCCCCAGAAAATAAAAGATGAATCGTAATTTAAGACATTTCATTATTTGTATCACAATAAATCCAGAGTCGGACGCAATAGGTCACCGTCCCCAAACACTTTCCTGAGGACACAACGGTGCTAAGCCCACGCAGAGCACACCGCTACGCGACGCTGGTGTGCTCCTGGGTTTTTTTTAGTAGCTTCTCCCGGTGAGTCGCACATATCCCTCCCATCTCCCAACGGAAGACTATACATAAAACGTTTTTAGTTTTACCTTATCCAAACAACAGCTAGTCGGCTCGGGATCATGGCATAGGGTCACTCGGGTCACCATATGTCTGAGCCAGACATGTGCGCCCAAACCAAGTGCACCAATATGGTCGGGTTGTCTTGTAAAACTATCGTTTAATCTAAGAACTGGGAGCTGGGACTGGACTCCGCTATCGTTACTCGATGGCGCCTATACCATATAAGCTTATTCGTCTTTCATACAAGTTCTCGCAATTATAATATATTGTTTTATATATTTCTTCTTTACCAAAGATAACAGTGAATGGCGGACTTAATGCCTTAAGGCATTTTCTGACAGTCAACCATAGGGAAGTGCAGAGAAATAAAGCGGTTGATGCGAAGCCAGAACACAATAAAAAAGAAAAAAATAATAATTATCATTAAATAATATGTGTACTACACACATAAAAACCTATACAATAAATACATGTAGAAGACAATTCACCCATTGGGGGTACTTCGTCATCGGATTCTTCGTAAACGCGGTAAGTTCGGTACGGGCTGGCAGAACAACCGCTCACCCTCGTGTCCAACTCAAAAGTGACGCCTATCAAATGCCAACATGCCACGCCCCGTACCGATCATCACTCAAGCACACTGCTTGACGTTTCCGACAAATGATAACAGATGGCGTTGTTCTATCAAAAAACCAAAAACTAATAACAAACAAAAAGTCAAAACTAAAAAGCAAAAAATAACTATGATTAGTACTGATAGATTACCCACCCACTGATAGGTTAGAAGTCGGTGCCATAAGATCATATCATAATGTCATTATGATATGATCTTATGATAATGATATAACTTAATGTCCACATAAATGTGAATTAGGTACCTATTAAGGTTTTAATGAATAATTTTGTATGGAACTTATGGCACCGACTTCTTACCTATCAGTGGGTGGGTAATCTATCAGTACTAATCATAGTTATTTTTTGCTTTTTAGTTTTGACTTTTTGTTTGTTATTAGTTTTTGGTTTTTTTGAAGTCGGTTTTTTAAACGCAGTTTTTATTTTATTATTTTATCATTTTTAGTGTAAAGCTACATAATTATACCCGTTTTGTTACTTATAATCTACATAGGTGCAAAGTTCTAATCAATACAAATTATACAAGCCCGAACACAAGGTAGTTACTGTATACCGTTGAGGAGTTCCCTTAACAATTACACTTCTTCATTATCAGACCCTTAATGACAGCTCCACTCTATCTAGGTGTAAAGTCCTCATCAATGCAAATTAATCAAGCCCAAACACAAGGTAGTTACTGTATACCGTTAAGGAGTTCCTTTAACAATTACACTTCTTCATCATCAGATCCTTAATGACAGCCCTACTCTATTTAGGTGTAAAGTCCTCATCAATCCAAATTAATCAAGCCCAAACTCAAGGTAGTTAATATAAACCGCTGAGGAGTTCCCTCGACTGCCTGTCGGCTCCATCATCAGGTCAACTCCAGACCCTTATCAAATTGTAGTGTTTCAAAATCCTAATTGAAAAACATAATAGACGCATTACTCGCCCATAGAATTTTCGAAAGTTCCCCTCGGTTTCCCTAGGATCCCATCATCAGATCCTGACCTCATGGAAATGGGACCATCTCGGGAGTATACCCTTTCAAACAAAACAAGAATTTTGGAAATCGGTTCACAAATGGCGGAGTACTGCGCGAACAAACAAAAAAAAAA